TTAAGAGTAACTTTCTTGCATCAAAAATAAATGAAGGGTATCAATATAAACATTAGGCACACAGTAAGGATTGCTTAAGATAGACCTGATACATACAGATCAGGTTCTGTTACACAGATCAGGTTCCAAGTCTGTTATGAAGTGAAAAATTTAACTGTGATTTCCTTCATATGGAATGTCATAAGGCTAGGTTGTATTTGGAAAGCTATTGTGAAACATAAACAAATGCATATGAATGTCAATTGGAACCATGTGTATGATTGTGACTTTTGCCTGTGACTTGGGCTAGGTTTCCTAACAGTGTCGTTCCTTTTAGCAGCTTCTTATTTGAGAAGCAATATTCTGGAACATATTCTCTGTTACTCTATCAGGATAGTTCTGAGCTGTATTTTTTCACAGCATTGTGTGTTTTCTTCTTTGCTAGATATTTATAGGCAAGGACACAATAGGTTTCAACTTCCTTTGTAACCCACTGTCTCAATTTTCATAAGCTTCTACCAGAGTAGAAATAAGAAACACTCTGAGGATCAAAAGCACTCTGACCTGACTCAAGCTCATTAAAAAGTGAGCAAAGCAAGAGAGTTTTGAGTGTAGTCTGCCTTCAGGGCCTGGGCTTTTTAGAGGTCTGGACTAACTTCTGCAGATGCAAGTCAGTCTAAGCTAATGGGCTTATGCCAGAAGTTAGAGCTTTGTTTTCAATGTATCATCTCAAAGATTTGCATGTTGTGAAATGAAGATATTTAGATATTCATCCTTATAGGGCCAAAAGGCTAGCTCTACAGGAACCCAAAGATCTCAAACCTAGTATATTTTATGACCACTAGAAGTTTTAGAAAAAAGAAAAAAAATTGTGAGCAGTACTAGTAACTATCCTAATTGGCTCCATATGTGTAGGTCAAAGTTAAAAATTCATTGAGGATCAGATTTCTTTTTGGTCAGCCTCCAGATGACCTGCTTCCTGACCATTGTCAATGAAAATACATCTACTCAACACTCTGAAACTCCTAAGTGATTAATTGTTGAAATAATCAGCTGCAAATATCTTCACAAGAGAAATAGTCCAATGTTCCTTGCACTGGAAGACTTAATTAACTTCATCAGTCTAATTTTTCCCTTCCTCATCTTATCTGAAGCATATGTTGGACTTTTGCCTCCATCCAGTGTGCAGTATGCTAGCCATTTAAGCAAATTTGGTGGCTAAAAACACTCTTTCTTTTTGTCAAAGTATCATAGCTAAAAATCCATCCTTTGGGCCAGTCAGAAAGGAGAGTTTTTTTTTTCTGCATATCATTTGACCTTTCCTCAAAATCAGGTTAAGAGCTAAATGCCTCTCTGATTCTTTACTATAGCTCCATAGGAGATATTTCTTTGGGGGGAGCTCCTGGGTTGTCTTTTTATGAGTAAATTGTGTACTTAATGTTGAAACGGAAGGGGAGCTCTCTCTATACAAGGTGTATATGGCATTAGGAGAAGGAAGTGTTACTAATATAAATATCAAAATACCAAGAAAAACTGAGATATGTTTCGAGTTGCCAAATGCATCAGGAGAGGAAGAAGGAAACAAGCTTCTGTGATGCTTCTTTGTGGTTAAGTAGGGTTGAATACTGGCAAGCTCATGAAACTACTCACAAGCCCTGTTGAATCCTCCTAGCCTCAGCTGTGAGGCTCAGAGTTAATATTTGTACAGGGAAGAGAAGTAGTATAGCCAAGTTACAGAGTGAACCAGTGTCTGAGTTAGAAATAGAACTCCTTGATCCCAATGCTGTGTTAAGTTCCAGCACCACACCCTCACTGCTAGACAGTAGAGATGTTGTGTGTTCTACCAAGGGAGAGCTGTGAATAGAGCCATAGTGGCAGTTTTCCCATATCCTCTCTTCAAGATTGAGAAAAGACTGTAATGCTTTCTTGTTTGTGGTTCTTTCTGTCCCACAGAATTTGATTACTTAAAGCAGCAGAGCAGAAGTGACAGGCATTTACAGACTGCCTCCTGTGGGTATAGTGTATAAAACCTGTTGCTGTTGAGTTGATTCCGACTCATGTTGAACTTATAGGACAGAATATAACTGTCCCATAGGTTTCCAAGGCTGTAAATCTTTACAGAAACAGACTGCCACATCTTTCTACCATGGAATGTCTGGTGGGTTTGAACTGCTGACCTTTATGTTAGCAGCTGAACACTTAACAACTACATCATAGTGTATCCTGGGGAACACAAAACTGAATGGCAACTTGGAGAGACAAAACTCACCTATTTATAACACAACATCTTGGAAGTGCAAAATAATACATAGCTAGTGAGTCAGAGAATGCTGTGTAAAGGGAGGTCATCAGAGGGAGTCCAGGCAGGGATGAAAAGTCTTCCATTATAAAAGCATTTTCCAAATACAATAGACTTATTGGAAGTACCTATTTTAAAAATTAAATGCAAACAGAGCATAGTGAGTGAAGCCTGGCTTTAATGTTAGGGGTCTCTTTTAGTTCTGTAATTTCTTTGGGTTGTGTGACTATGTTAGAGTTTTTTGGCTTCCTTATTTTTATCAACAATGAAATTACTCTTTTTGAATGTGACTCATAGCCTTATGATTTTAAAAAAATATGTCTAGATCAATGGGTAGTGAGTGGGATGTTAAAAATAGTATATAAAGTAGTTTCAGTAATTGACAAGTTTTCCATTCTCTTTTTTCTTCTGCCACTTCATTAATGAAACCAATAAACTGCAAAAACTTGGGTGCAAAGCCCCCAAAGTGAGGTCTGAACACCATTGACTGATATTTTCCAGACTCTTCCTGTCTCTACTGATCAGTGTCAGTGACCTTAAACAGTGATAGCATTTGTCCTTGTGTGTGAGAAACCAGAAAGGAGTATGATGAAGAAAGGTGGAAAGGATGGAATTGGAGGAGTTGATGTGAATTGTAAATGCCTCCCAAGGCCCTGAAGGCAAGTTAGATAGCTACACTAACCTTTCCTCAACAAGATTTTCTTTATCTTCTTTTCTCCTCTTTCAACTCTCTAGTTACTCTTTCTCTGCTACTTTATTTCCCATCTTCTTTCTTACTTCCTATCCTTCCATATTTTATTTTTCTTCTGGCTTTTTTTTTTTTCAATCCTGAACCTTATATAAGGTCAAGGTTGCTTCTTTCAAAAGATGAACTAGGCCTATGATATGAAATGGCTAAGAAGGAATATGATCTTGGCACAGAGTTAGGCACACCATGAAGATTTAGGAGACGAAAATTCAGAGGTAGCAAATTTCCTTAGCTATCAAAAATGACAACAGTTTGGTTTGCATCTCATATTCTCCAAAATCATATTTCCATCTAAGCACTGTAGTGAGTGAATGTTATTATTTTTTTTTTCCTTTCAAGCTAAGTATTTTTTTCTCAAGCCAAACACTGGTTGACATGACTTCAGGCCTCTGTGTTTCTGGCACATTGTCCCCTTGAGTTCTCTCCCTTTTATATACAGAGTGTCTTTGACCTGTTTCCTGGGAGATGGAAGAAAAGAGTAATGTAAGAAAGAATCACTTCTGAGAAATGTCTTTCATATTTTGAAATATAAACATGTGAAAACCCATTATTGGATATGTCAGGAAATAAAGATCACCCTTATTCCATATCCTCCCCACTTAAAATAATTCATTCAGCAGCTTCCAGTCCAAACTCATTGCCATTGAGTAAATTCTAACCCATAGTGACCCCATAGGACAGAATAAAACTGCCTGTGTAACATTTCCGAGACTATAATCTTTATGGAAGAGACTACCCCATCTTTCTCTTGCATAGCTGCTGCTCAATTCAAACTGCTGACCTTCCATTTGACCTCTTTAACCACTGTACATACAGGTGTCCTTATAGTGTATTATACATTAAATAAACAGTCCTTGTATAGGGACAGTTGTTGACATAAAGAATGTTGATAAGATTTCTACATGCACCTTAGAACAATGTTTGCCTAGATACCCCACAAAGATAATTAAGTCAATGACTGCCAGATGTGCAAATGGTGGCAGGTGGAGGACATGTAGCTTGTCATTTCAGAATTGCACGAAATGGGGTACAAGGATGGCTGTTCATGTCAAATCCATCTCACATCCAATTTGTGTTAGACAAGAAAAGTCTTAACCAAGGCCATTTTAGGAGATGAAGTCATAGAAATAGCTGAAAGAATGGGCAGTGGGAGAGGGAGAAAGAAGCTTGGAAAGGGATCTACAGTCTGCAGTAGGGAAATGCTGAGGTTGTTAGAATTATTTCTATTAAGGAAAAGCAATGTAATACATGAAAACATCTTTTAGCCAGAAGCTTTAATTGTGGGATCCCTGCCTTCTGAGTTTTTGTATTAGAAGAAAAAGGCGAATCAACAGTTTACTTTGGGAGTTTAGTCAGACTGATTGTTTCTTCTTCTTCTTCTTCTTCTTCTTCTTTTTTTATTATCTTGCTCTGGGGTTGCATATTCACCTGTAATCTTAAATTCAGTAGAACTAATACTCAGACAGTGAAGTTCAATAATATTGGAAAGTAGACAACACAGTTTAAAGTAGTTAACAAATCTAAAGATGTAAATTCTAGTTCTGACTATACCATTGACATTCTCTTCTAGTTCTCACATTCTATAATTCTAAGTTACATAAGCTTCAGTTTATGCTTCTGTAAAATGGTTGTAATTCCTGTCTTCACTACCATAGGAAGTTCATGTGGGGATCAAATAAAACACTACTTTTGAAAGCACTTTGAAAGCTGAACAGTGCCACAGAAATTCCAAGGTTTTAGCATTGTTCTTTAACTATTAGGTTTTTTCTTCCTTCCTTCTTTCTTTCTTTCTCTCTCTTTCATGCTCAGATAACCAACAATTGATTCCAGTTCATTGCAGTGCTACCATATTGCACTTACTACATTCAGTGTGGTCCCTCCTACTCATGCAACAAATCCTTATTGTATCTTTTAACATATGGTAGGTGCTCAAAAAGTACTCGTCAACCCAAATTGAATGCATGTTGTCTTCCAATCTGAATAAACAGAATATATCTTTTACTCCTTAAAAATAATGCATGAAAGGCATATTTGATTATTGGTTCCATCTTTTCCCTCATAGGAAGAAAACATTTCTTACCAGTCCCTAGTCTCAGAGTGGTGAACTCCTGCAGCCAGCAGGCCTCCTGAAAAATCCATGGGTGACAGAAGATTCATTGACTTCGAATTCCACGATTTAAATTCAAGCCTCAGACCCAGGTTGGGCAATGCTACTGCCAATAATACTTGCATTGTTGATGATTCCTTCAAGTATAATCTGAATGGTGCTGTCTACAGTGTTGTATTCATCCTGGGTCTGATAACGAACAGTGCCTCTCTGTTTGTCTTCTGCTTCCGCATGAAAATGAGAAGTGAGACAGCCATTTTCATCACAAATCTGGCCCTCTCTGATTTGCTCTTTGTCTGCACCCTACCTTTCAAAATATTTTACAACTTCAACCGCCACTGGCCTTTTGGTGACACCCTCTGCAAGATCTCTGGGACTGCATTCCTTACCAACATCTATGGGAGCATGCTTTTCCTCACCTGTATTAGCGTGGATCGTTTCCTGGCCATTGTTTATCCCTTTGGATCTCGTACCATTAGGACCAGGAGGAATTCAGCCATTGTATGTGCTGGGGTTTGGATCCTAGTCCTTAGTGGTGGTATTTCAGCCTCTTTGTTCTCCACCACTAATGTCAACAATGCAACTACCACCTGCTTTGAGGGATTCTCCAAACGTGTCTGGAAGACCTATCTATCCAAGATCACCATATTTATTGAAGTTGTTGGGTTCATCATTCCTCTAATATTAAATGTTTCTTGCTCTTCTGTGGTTCTGAGAACCCTCCGCAAGCCTGCAACACTGTCTCAAATTGGGACTAACAAGAAAAAAGTATTGAAGATGATCACAGTGCATATGACAGTTTTTGTGGTATGCTTTGTGCCCTACAATTCCATCCTCTTTCTGTACGCCCTGGTACGCTCCCAAACCATTACCAATTGCTTGCTGGAAAGATTTGCAAAGATCATGTACCCAATCACTTTGTGCCTTGCTACTCTGAACTGTTGCTTTGACCCTTTCATCTATTATTTCACACTTGAGTCCTTTCAGAAATCTTTCTACATCAATAGCCATATCAAAATTGAGTCTCCATTTAAGACTGAAACACCTCTGACTACAAAGCCTTCCCTTCCAGCTATTCAAGAGGAAGTTAGTGATCAAACAATGAATAATGGTGAATTAATGCTAGAATCCACTTTCTAGGTACAAGAACTGTCTTTGAATCCAGATGCATTTTTCCTATGCTATGAATAATGGAAAAGATTTAAAGCTGATGAAACTGAGAATATAATAATGTGCTGACTATTATCAGATGCATTGGTTTGAACATTTATTGTACATATGCTGTTTTGTTAAATAATTATAGGTCAAGTCTAATTACAACAACCAAAAGGAATTGCCAAACTCTTTTGCGGGGATGGAATGTCATTGAATCACATTATATAAGTGGCCAGTGGCCTTGCTTGACTTGAGTGATATGGATAGTACTTAAAAATATATTTTCATTCCAATGATATTTGGTAATTGGGTTGGGCCTATAAATATAGAACAAAGTCAGGGATTATTTTTAAAATGTTTGTGTTACTACTGATAATAAGCTAGTCCTTCTTTTCTTTTTGAATTGTCATTGAGTTTGTTTTATCACAAGAACATATTTTAGCCTAACATTATTAATAAACTATGTATCACATTAAAAAAAAAGTTAGCAAAATTTGTTGTGCGTATTTTGAAAGGAGAAAAAGAAACTGTGTTTTCATGAATAATAAATGAGAAAAAAAAAGAGAATTAACTTGATTTACGTATTTGTAATCACCGGCAATATTAGTTTTTTAAACCTCTTTTTTTAAAACTATGTAAAAGTTTTCATATAAAAAGTTTACGCCAGAAAGCTAATAAGTAGGTGCCCAAAATAGGCGCCAAATTAAAAATCACATAATTCAACAAAATATCACTAAAAACACTAAACACCATCAATTTTTCCCCTTAATACTTCCACTTAACTTTCTCTTGGAAGACTGGGCTTTATAAAGTACTTATTTTTTTTGTAGGAAATTTTGGAACACAATGCAGCCAGAAAGCTGCTGAATTTGTGCCCAGGTCAGGAGCAAATTGGAAAAATAAACAAAGCAACAAAATAATAACAAAAAATAAAGCAACAAAAATGTTCTTAAGTTTGCATAATTTTTTGGCGGGGAGGAGGGATAGAGATCTGTAACCTAAAAATACTAATACTTTGATATTAAATTTTGGAGTACAATATAGCCAGAGAGCTGGTGAATTTGTGCTCAGGTCTAGAGCAAACTGAAAAAAACAAAACAAAACACCTACCTAAAAAAGTCATAACATGTGCATTAATATTTCATTTATTTTTTGAGAATTGTAAATTTGAAGATTGTCCTTAGTATTAAATTTGGAGGTACAATGTAGCTAGAAAACTGCTAAGTTTTTCCCAGGGCAAGAGTGAATTGAAAAATAAATAAAACAAAACAAAAGGAGAAAACAACTACAAAACAAAAAGCACACAAAAAATTAGAACTTGTATTTTTTTGGGGGGAAGATCTGTAAACTTAAAAATTCTATAATTTTCGTATGATAATTTGGATCACAATGCAGCTAGGAACTACAAAACAAAAAGCACACAAAAATTAGAACTTGTATTTTTTTTGGAAGATCTGTAAACTTAAAAATTCTGTAATTTTCATATGATAATTTGGATCACAATGCAGCTAGGAAGCTACTCAGGAGATGAGCATTTTTTTTTTAATTTAAAATGCAAAATAATAACAAAAAAGTAAAAAGTTTAACACAATAAACAAATTCTTTAAAATTTTGTTTTTCTTTCTAATGATAAATAGATTTTAAAGTACCAGGATTTTAACTAAAAACCTCTGTGAATAATGTAACTTTAAAAATTGTTAAATCTGTGCCTGAGTTAGGAACTAATTGAAAAAATACAAAAACAACAAAATAATAACAAAAATCAATTCTCAAAACTGGCATTATTTTTCCTTCTAAAGTCTTAAAAATAAATATACATTGTATTGTCCTATGAAGAAAAGTTATAGATGAAGAGCATAAAGTGCTACATAGCCTCAGTTAGATGAAATTCAGATAAATTAGGTTAATGTCAGTTGTTAAATTGCATTGCAAGGTCAAATTAGAATCAAAATATGAATAATCTTTTTGTTTCTTTGGGTATTCTTTCATTTCCATTTTTTGCAAGTATAAATTGTATGTGAATTATTGTTTGTGCTCTTGACTCTCAAAAATATGAAATTTTAGGATTATGACACTAAATTACTTAATAAGATATGTTAACCAAATTGACATAAAATATATTAATAAAACATTTTCCTTTTGTGTAATTTCCATGTTTAGTTTTTTCTTTACTTTTGCATATTTCATTTTCTTCTACGTAATTTCCATTTTTTATAATTAACATAACTTGCTGATAATAGAAATTTTTCATAAGAAAAATGTAACCAACAAAATTAATGTCTACATAAATGTAAATTTTACATTTAAGAACAAAAACTATAGTGTAGTTGTAACTACAACTTGGATTTTAAATATTTATTGATGTGATGAAATATATTTTGATTATCTACCATTTACACTTTGGTCAATTACTTATTCAAGTTTGCCTTTATTTGTGGGCAACCAGCATGCATTTTTTTCCTTTATTTTCAAGTAAGAACTTATTAGAGTATATTTGATCTCAAATCAATTCCAATACCTCATTTTTGAAGCTGTCTGAAGCGTAATGCAGAACTGGCAAATGGCAAGTCCCTGGGTAAACTATTCAGAGATTAGGAGAAAAGCCCAACTACCCTCTTACCCAATTCTTACAACTTGGCTTTAATTTATTTGGAATTTTTAGCAAAGTTGAAATTTTAGTCTGATTTCTAAGATTTGATTAAATATCTTAGGGCAAAAACTTGGAGGTCTGGGGAAAGTCTGGGTGAGCAGACTATTTGACAACAATGAAAGTCATGTAGCCAGTAGATCAGTAACTGAAATAGGTGGTGATCTGAAGTCTAGCAGCAAAGGAAATTAGTGATCTTTGTGCTCAAGCCTCTTAACTCTCAAGGAAAGCAATGGCATCTCAAAAACTACATTGTGCATTGGTTACCCATGAGATGACAGCAAACACTGCCTTTTCTGACATGACAAGCATTTGCAGGCCTAGGCTATGTTTAAAATTAGAGGAAGTTTGTCATTAGTGATCCTGTAGGCCGGTCCTCCGAAGAATGGAGGTTGAGAACTTTTGTTTCAATTACCTATCTGTTGTCCTTCTCCTCCTGTCCTCACTTACAAACACTCACCAGTTCTATTTGTATGATTTTCCATACCTCATGCCCTCTGCCTCTCTTTCCTGTGGCTCTTCTGCACCCCATTATCTCTCCCCCACCCCACCCCCAGAAATATTACTTCTTTGTGAACCAAAAACAATACAACCAATATGTACATTTCTCTGTCAAGATAGTGATAGGTTGAACAGACTCATAGCTTGATGTGAATGATTAATCGCCTCACCTACCTCCTTTAATTTTGCATTTTAGGAAGGGAGTCTGGTTAACTTAAATGACTGTCCGAAGAAGGGTGGATGGGAAGAGATGACTGTCTGGTAGATGGTAAATCACCCCTTGAACCTCAGCCTCTTTGGATTCATTCCAAAGTCTCTGCATTCCAACTTTCTTGTCCTGTTTTTTCTCCCTCTCTTTTTAAAATAACATTTTATTGTGTTTTTGGTGAAGGTTTACACAGCAGTTTAAGGTGTCTCATTCAACAATATCTACACAAATTGTTCAGTGACATTGGTTACATTCTTTACTATATGTGAGCATTTTCATTATTTCCATTCTGTTTGTTTCATTTCCATTAATCTAGTTTCCTTGCTCCCTCACATTATCATCTTTGTTTTAAAGTAATTAATAGTTTGGTCTCCTATAGGTGATTTTTTAAAGGAGCACAGTATTTATGGGTGACTTTCATTATTTTGTGAGCCAGTTGGTCATTTAGCTGCAAGGCGACCTCAGGGGGTTAGTTTAAGTTCAAAGTTTGCAGAGTATTTCAAGGCAATAATACAGGAGAATTCTCTAGTCTCAATCAGTCTATTAAGTTATTATTTATTTATTCATAGAAATTTGATGTTTCTGTATTCCATATTTTTTTTTCCCAATTCTATCAAGGTCCATCTATTCTGGCCCTGATTAAAATGGTCTGGTTCTTCTTGTCTCAGGGTAGATAAAGCCATGGTTTATGCAGATTGTAATGTAGACTAGTTTCTTCCTTGAGTCTTTTGGTTTCTTTAAAGACCAATAGTTCAATCTTAGATAGCTTCTGTCAAGCTTTGAAGACCCCAGACACTACTCATCAAATAAGGATGTAGAAAATAACTTTATGAATTATTTTATGCCTATTGACCAAGATAAGATGCTCCATGAGACTATGGTCTTAATCCTTCAAACTCAGAAAACCAGTTCTGTGGGGAGTTCAGTTATGTCTAAGAAGTATCCATAACTGTGCCTCCTATGTTCAGATAGTCACATAGGTGCATATACATTTATATATGCATACACATATATACACACCCACAACTCATCTGTCAGTTTGTCATACTGTGGTGGATTGTGAGTTGCTGGGAGGCTGGTGGCCATGCCGCCAGTATCTCAGATACCAGCAGGGTCACCCATGGTGGACAAGTTCAGCAGAACTTCCAGACTAAGACAGACTTGGAAGAAGGAAGGGGCCATCCACTTCTAAAAGAATTGGCCAGTGAAAACCTTATGAATAGCAGTGAAATACTGTTTGATGTATTACTGAAAAACTTGATAAATAGTCCTGAAACATTGTCTGATATAGTACTGGAAGATGAGACCATCAGGTCAGAAGGCATTCAAAATATGACTAGGGGAGAGCTGCCTCCTCAGAGTAGAGCTGACCTTAATGATGTGGACGGAGTAACGTTTTTGAGACCTCCATTTGCTGATGTGGCATGACTCAAAATGAGAAGAAATAGCTACAAACATCCATTAATAATGGGAACATGGAATTTATGAAGTATGAATCGAGGAAAATGGGAAATTGTAAAAAATGAAATGAAACGCATATCCTAGGCATTAACCAAAAAGCAAACCAAACCAAACTCACTGCCTTCGAGTTGGATCCGACTCATAGCCACCCCTTCTTGGGTTTCCAAGGCAGTATCTCTATGGAAGTAGATTGCCCAATCTTCTTTCTGGGGAGTGGCTGGTGGGTGTGAACCGCCAGACTTCTGGTTAACAGTCAAATGCTTTAGGCACTATACCACCAGAGATTCTAGGCATTGGTGAGCTAAAATGAACTGGGTTTGGCCATTTTGAATCAGACAACCATATGATCTACTATGCCAGCAATGACAAATGGAAGAGGAATGGCGTGGCACTCATCATCACAAAGAATG